CAGCCTCCCAAGTGGCTGGGATTACAGATACCCACCACCACGCCTGGCTAATCTTTGTATTTTTAGTAGAGACGGGGTTTTATCATGTTGACCAGGCTAGTCTGGAACTCCTGACCTAAGGTGATGGGCCCGCCTTGGCCTCCCAAAGTGCTGGGATTACAAGTGTAAGCCACTGCACCCAGCCTATTCAAACACTTTATAGCTCAGGGAGGTTCAGAAATTTACCCAGAGTAACACAGCTGGAAATGTGGTGGTTTAAACACACATCTGTGTAACTCCAAAACCCATTGTCTTAACCACTTCTCTGCTTCTGGCGTCAGCCCCAGGTCAGCCCACAGAAGTCTGCATCTAGGACAGCAGAATCTCAAGCAGCAGCTCTGATGGGTCCATGTTGTATGCCTGCCTGAAGCTTGGGTTGGGGAGAACACAAGGACAGGGATTAGCTCCAGGTGCTGGGGGCAGGGTGGAGGAATGACAGCACGTGCCATGTGTGTGTGACATAGAGATCTATTTTATCCATATTGCAGCTGAAATTATATGAGTGTATATTAGCTTTCAGTTGCTGCTATAATAAATTACCAAAACCTTAGTGGCTTAAAATGACCTACCTTATTGTCTTATAGTTCTGGAGGTCAGAATTCTAAAATGGATCTTAATGTGGCCAAAATCAAAGTGTTGGCTGCGCTGGCTCCTTCTGGAGGCTGTAGGGGAGGATCCATTCCTTGCCTTTTTCAGTCTCCAGAGGTGGCCTGCATTCTGTGGCTCCTTAGCTCCTCCTTCCTCTGACCTCAGAACCAGTACTTCAAATTGATCTCTTTTTCTCTCTCTCCTCATTCCATTGTCACTTATCTTTCTCTGATTCTGAGCCTTCTGTCTCCCTCTTATAAAGACCCTGTGGTTATTGGGCCCACTTGGAGAACCCGGAATACTCTTCCCATCTCAGGATACTTGAACTTTACATCTCCATAGTCTCTTTTGCTCTGTAAAATAGCATAGTCACAGGTTCTGGGGACTAGAATATGGACATGTTTAAGGGGCTATCATTCTATCTATCATGAGGTGTAAAGAAAATAGAAGTGCACCATGGGCTAGCCTGGGATACCATTACTAAGGTGGTTTCTGAGGGCTCTAGAGCAGCTGAAGCATTATTTGGGTGTTGAGCTAAGGACAGCCTGTTAGAGCATCTGTGATGCATGTGCTGAGAAGCTGTGCACTTGAGGAATTCCAGGAGTGAAAGGTTTTTTGTTGTTGTTGTTTTGTGTGTTTTTTTGATATGGAGTTTTGTTCTTGTCATCCAGGATGGAGTGCAATGGCGTGATCTTGGCTCGCTGCAACCTCTGCCTCCCAGGTTCAAACGATTCTCCTGCCTCAGCCTCTCAAGTAGCTGGGATTACAGGCACCTGCCACCACACCTAGTTAATTTTTTGTATTTTTAGTAGAGATGGGGTTTCACCATGTTGGCCAGGCTGGTCTCGGACTCCTGACTTCAGGTGATCCACCTGCCTCGGCCTCCCAAAGTGCTGGGATTACAGGGGTGAGCCACTGCACCCTGCCAAAAGGTCTTTAAAATGCATGTAAGAACTGATACCTGGGATGTTTTCTCCTGCTTCTGAGCTCCATGACCAGGCTTAGATGGCCACGGGGTCTTATGATCTCTGATTTTCTGTGGAATTGGAACTACCATTTTGCATCTACATCCCTAAAAGTGCCATGCTACTCCAATTGTGGGAATGAATTACCATGTTCCCCTCAAGTAAGTAGCGGGCAGACCGATGTGTCAGGAACACAGTGTGATGTGGCAAGCAGCCGACCTGGGTGATAGGAGGAGAAGAGGAGGGGATTCTGAGAATGCAGGCATGCCTGAGGTCATTTTCCAAGCAGAACTGTAGTGTCCAAAGGGTTTATAAGGTGTAAGAGGGAGTGACTGGGAAGGTAGGCAGGTGTCACGTCAGGAATGATCTGGAGGGGCAGGGAGCCAGTGAAGGGCTCAAAGCAGGGGAGCAAGGGCAGTTATGCACATGGCCAGAGCCCCTTGAGGTCAAGACCTGGGTCTGGTTCATAGCTGAGTGCCCAGCCTTGTGAGTCTTAGGCCAAGGTGGAATGCTCAGCAGAGAGTGAATGGATGCCACAGGTAAGCTTCACCTTCCTTCCAGGCCAGCCTCGCTGGGCCCCCCTCTGAACAGCTCCACACACATCACAGAGACTTTATTTGGAGGGATTTAGGTTCTTGAATGCATGGCATAGCACACCTCACTGTCTTGGGCTCCTTTCCACAATGCATTGGCCATTGCCCAGTAAATACCTGTGAATAGTGTGTTGCAATAGGAATATAGAGGAAACAAACAAAAGACATATAAGGGAACTGGAACAACAAAAAAGCTACGTCTGACAAGTAAGGTGATTGGTTGCTAGGATCCCTATGCACCAGGAAGCATGGTGTTAGATGGAATGTGTTTCCTTTTAGAAGTCCCTCCTGTACCTGGCTTCATTTGATCTTCCTCAAAACCACCTCCTAGAGGAAAGCCATGTAAATTCTTAAGAAAAAAAAAGAGACAGTTGAGGAGACCCAGACCCAGTGGTGTAGAGCAGCGGTCCCCACCTTTTTTTTAGCACCAGGGACTAGTTTTGTGGAAGACAATTTTTCCATGCACTGGGGGGTCAGTAGGGAATGGTTTTGGGATCAAACTGTTCCACCTCAGATCATCAGGCATTAGATTCTCATAAGCAGCCTAGATCCCTCGCATGCACAATTCACAGTAGGGTTTGTGCTCCTATGAGAATCCAATGCCACTGCTGATGTGACAGGAGTCAGAGCTCAGGTGGTAATGCTCGCCCGCTGACCGCCTCCTGCTGCATGGCCTGGTTCCTAACAGGCCATGGACCAGGACCAGGACCAGTCCAGGGCCCGGGGGTTGGGAACCCCTAGAGTAGAGTGGTTTGCCATCAGGCATCCAGTGGAGGATGGGAGGATTGAGGTACTAATCTTGGCTTCTAGATTACAGTTTTCTTTTCCTCCCATGATGCTACTCTGCCTTCCTCTTCATTCTAGCCCAGTTATCCTTCCCCTTGTTAAGCTTCTGGAACCTGTTGTCTTACTCATCCTTCATTCTTCCTTACTCAAGGGCTGTCTTGTGGTATTTCATACACTGTACTTCCCTAACACCGGGCTCTTTCACCCTCGCTATATATACCTTGTTTTGCCATCTAAACAGCATTCTTGGAGGGCCACGGTGTGATGTGAAATTTATCTGGATGCCTAGGATATAATCTACCTACCCAGTTACTCTTCTTTGAAATAACGAACCCCATGTTAATTCATTTCACGAAGGGGGGGACAGTGGCTGTTTTGTTTGCCAGCGTAGCTAGCATAACGTCTGGCTCCTAATAGATGGGGATTGAGTTTATGTCTTGGGGGCTTATAAGAGCACAGAAGAGTGTGATTTGGGGATCTTGGGCTTTGGTCTTGGGGGATTGGATTGTCTCGTTCCTGGTTTCCTACCTGGTTGTGTTACTCTGGAGTCTGCCATCTGCAGGTTGAGCAGCCTTTAGTTGTATAAACTGTAGTCTTGTCCCTAAGCAGTTATAGACACTCTTAGGATTTTAATAAGTTCACAACACTTTCCAAAGTGTTTTAGTTCAGGTGAGGAATTCTGGAATCTTGTATATGTGGGGAGAGAGGCAGAAGGAGGAAAGCTGGAGAAGGAAGGTGAGCTATGAAGAAGGGGAGCTTCAGTAGATTGTGAGCTGGTGTGCCATGTGGATTTAGGTTTTCTGTTACTTATTCCTCACCTTAGAGTAGGGGTTGGGTGGGTGTGTCCATGTGCCCCTCTCTGCCCAGTTGTGCTTTCTCAAGGCGCATGTATATCTGAATTCAGGGATACACTTTCAGTGGGTGTGCCTGGCTTCAGGATAAGCAGCGTGAACATGCCTGTGGCATATGGATGTCATGTGGTTGTGGCCAGAAACCCTGGGCTCCATCAGAAGTGTTCTCCACATTTTGTTTTGGTGTAACAATCGCCCATTAAATGCCAGGCTGCCAGCATATGGTTCCCTCCAACATCCTTCTTGTTTAGTGGAAACTTTAGCTGTGTAGCTGGAATATCTTCCCATCATTTAGCATTTCAGAATTAACATATTTTGGAGAATTCTGTGATTAATGCTGAATGGCACATTTGCAGAGTATTACAGAAACAGGTAAATTGGAGTTGGTAGATCTGTAGCTGCTCTTTCTCATGATGGGTAAGTGGTGTAAAAGGTGGGGTCAACAGGAGGATTCCGGGGCTCACTCTGTGGATGCTATAATTAAAGTGGGAAGTCTGGCACAGTTGTTAGCCCTGGTATTAAGAGTGCAGATGGCTAATGACCACATCACCAAGAGTAAGAGTTAGGCCTTTTAAAGTCTTTTTTTCTTTTCTTTTCTTTCTTTTTTTTTTTTTTTTTTATGACCCACACTATGTATTCCAAGCATAGGTATGGATGCAGTGAAGAATTTTCTCATTAAAAGTAACAACTTATTCCCATACTCATTCCCAGTCTTGAAATGAGAAACCAGTTTCCTTAGACTTGAGGAATTGCCTATCTGTTGTGGCTTAATAGAGCTTGCGGATGAGGGCGTCTGGAGTAGGCGAATTTTATGACCAATCAGCGCTCAAAGTGGATCTAACTGGAAGGGCTCCAGCTGGCAGCTCTTGGTCTCTCTCCCAATTTTACTGTTAATGAATTATTATTTAACCCCTAAACATAGAACAGCTTGCCCCTATTGTTTTACAGAAGCGAGTGCTCATGATCCCTATGGCCTGGCAGTTAGGAATCTCCTGGGCTGGCCGGAGTTTGACAGCTGTAGGGGGCCATGAAGTGGGCAGAAAGAGTGGTGGACGATGTCCGGGGACTGGCATTACCCTGGGTCTCAGCAGTGCTGCCTGCATTTGGACTCCATGGGGATTTGTGTTGGAAGAGCAAATTGGCTTCACTCTGCATCATGTTCTCTTGTTTTCCCACAGGGAGTGGGGCCGGCCAGCAGAAACAGTGGGCTGCACAACATCACCTTCAAATATGACAGTAAGTAACTGCCTTTATTGCCAAAGAATAGAGCCCTTTGAGTCATCTAAAGATTACATAGCCATGCTTAATCAAGGACGCTGCAGTCTTGGGGTTGAGGAATTTTCTGAACCTGTTCAGGTTTGTCAACAGCTAAAGCAGCTCAGTCTCAATTAAGCCACTCAAGTATTTGGGAGCTTGACCAGGTCAAGTGTCTTCCATAGTGTTCAGAAAAGTTGTGTAAGGAGACTTTCCCTGTGTTCCTTGGGGTTTATCTATATGTGTTGTTAAGGACATAACTGCCAGTATGGCCCAGCAAGGAACACATAAACAAAGTTGCCCCAGTGCAGGGTGCTAGGGAATGGTGGAGAGTATGGCAAACTGGATAGCTCATGTCTAGTCTGAGGGGAGTCTTGACTCCTTAATTCCAAATATTGTGGCCATGAGGAATTCCCACTGAATGTAGCAAATTGATTTCTAAGAATAGTGGGAAATTCTTGCTTTTTGTATAAACATTTTTTAATAATGGCAGTTATTTTTAAAATTTCACACAGAATGAATCTGTGTGAAATTCACACAAGGTGAATCTGTGTGAATCTGAGTCCCAGATTGGCCAGAGGTCTACAGTCTGCAGTTGGTTGGCCATCGCTGACCAGGCCTGGGCTCCAACCCCAGTTCCCCATCTATCAGTTCTTTTATCTTTTCTTTTCTTCTTCTTTTTCTTTTTTTTTTTTTTTTTTTTGTGATAGAGTCTCACTCTGTCACCCAGGCTGGAGTGTAGTGGCATGATCTCTGCTCACTGCAACCTCCACCTCCCAGGTTCAAGCAATTCTCATGCCTCAGCCTCCTGAGCAGCTGGGATTACAAGTGCATGCCACCACACCAAGGTAATTTTTTTTTTTTTTTTTTTTTTTTCTCATGCCTAGCCTCCCGCGAGCAGCTGGGATTATAAGCGGCATGCCACCGCTACCAAGGTAATTTTTTTTTTTTTTTTTTTTTTTTTTTTTTTTTGAGACAGAGTCTTGCTCTGTCACCCAGGCTGGAGTGCAGTGGCATGATCTCCGCTCACTGCAAGCTCCGCCTCCCAGGTTCATGCCATTCTCCTGCCTCAGCCTCCCGAATAGCTGGGACTACAGGTGCCCACTACCACGCCCGGCTAATTTTTTGTATTTTTAGTAGAGATGGGGTTTCACCATGTTAGCCAGGATGGTCTCGATCTCCTGACCTTGTGATTTGCCCGCCTTGGCCTCCCAAAGTGCTGGGATTACAGGCGTGAGCCACCGCGCCCAGCCACACACCCAGTTAGTTTTTGTATTTTTAGTAGAGACTGGGTTTTGCCACGTTAGCCAGGCTGGTCTTGAACTCCTGGCCTCAAGTGATCTGCCCACCTCTGCCTCCCAAAGTGCTGGGATTACAGGTGTGAGCCACTGTGCCTTGCCCTACCTACCAGTTTTATGAGCTGTGGCTGGTGATTTGACTTCTCCAGGCTTCAGTTTTCTTTTTTAAAATAAAACTTAGTTTCCTTCTTCTAGCATCATTTTGAGTTTTAAATAAGGTGATGCTTATAACTGCTCAACTTGGGATCTGACTGTAATGTATATTCATTAATTAATATCTATTAATATAGAAATCAGTCCAACTGGAGTTGGAATGCAAGCACCATTTTTTGCCCTTTCTCTCAAGAAAGGGTGACTCTGGCTGAATTGTTTTCTTTTCTTTTTTCTTTTTTTTTTTTGAGACGGAGTCTTGCTAGGCCGGAGTGCAGTGGCGCAATCTCGGCTCACTGCAACCTCCGCCTCGTGGATTCAAGCAATTCTCCTGCCTCAGCCTCCCGAGTAGTTGGGACTACAGGTGCGTGCCACCACGCCTGGCTAATTTTTGTATTTTCAGTAGAGACAAGGTTTCACCATGTTGGCCAGGATGGTCTTGATCTCTTGACCTCGTGATCTGCCCGCCTCAGCCTCCCAAAGTGCTGGAATTACAGGGGTGAGCCACTGTGCCTGGCCTCTGGCTGAATTGTTTTCTGAGGGCATGGGGGGGTGCTTTTTCTAAGCAGCTCCTTTCATTCATAAGAAGATAGTTGTATAGAATTGTGATCCTTTTAGCTTTATGAGTCATAATTTAAGTAAAAATGACAAGAAGGAACTTGACTCATATTTAATAACTTCTGGCATCTGATTCATCTCTTGGACAGGGTTATGAATCAATGTAAGTAAAGGGCTTAGGTTGCATTGAGGCCTCTAGAATAATCACTGCTAAAGCAGGATTGTAAAAGTTGTGGTTACAATCTAACAATTTTAAGATACAAATATGTGTGTCAGATTCACACCCACAGTTGCTGGAATGGCTATTTCAGGCTAACCAGTGAGGACTTACATGTGCAACTCAGGCAGCTCACATTGGTGGTGTATATATGTTCTGGGTAAATGTTGGGTAGATGCTAATGAAAGATTTGCACATCCATGATACTTGATTCAGCTAAGTAAAGAGGTGTAAGGGATCTTTCTTTGAGTTACAAAGTGAATTTCTAATATGTGCTCTTGGTCCTAGCAGATCTTGTACTACATTCAAGCGTTCAGAATTTTCCTGTCAGCTGCAAACAAGCATTTGTATCTCTAATTTAATATGACATTTGTGAAGGAGGATCTCTCCGTGTAAAACTTTAAAGTATCTTGCTGTTTTCTTCATAATACCAAATATTTGGCCCACATATCTATGCCTGTCTCTTAGTCATTACTTTCTTTTTAATTCTTCAACATTTAATCAAAATTTAATTCACAGCTTGTATTGACTCCTGAGACGCATGAAACTCAGTTGCATTTTGGGAAAATGTCATTTGGGCATGAAGTTTTTGTAATCAGAATCCAAAATTTTGGACTTGCTAATAATTGGATCCAGGCTGTGTAGAAAAACCTATTCCATATTTTCCATTGAAAAAGATATTTCTGTCTTCTACAAGGAAGTTCCTGTTACTGCTCAGTTGACTGGTTACTAGTCAACTGAAATAACTTGTTTGAAATAACTAAGAACCAATTACTGGGTTTTCAACAAAACTACTAAAAACCATATTTTTCTATTCCTTTGTCATTTAATGTTATACAGGAAGAAAATGTCTTGCCGTTAAGTCAAAATTAAATTTTACAAGTCTCTCTGCCTCTTTTGGCCTTGAATTCCATGTTTTTTCCTTTACATTCTTGGTATGCCCAAGTAGGTTATATTAAATTTTCTTATTCTTAGACTTTATATTGGCTGGGCGTAGTGGCTCATGCCTGTAATCCCAGCACTTTGGGAGGCCAAAGCGGGTGGATCACCTGAGGTCAGGAGTTCGAAACCAACCTAACCAATAAGGTGAAACTCTGTCTCTACTAAAAATACAAAAATTAGCTGGGCATGGTGGCATGTACCTGTAGTCCCAGTCCCAGCTACTTAGGAGGCTGAGACAGGAGAATTGCTCAAACCCAGGAGGCGGAGGTTGCAGTGAGCTGAGATTGTGCCACTGTACTCCAGCCTGGGTGACAGAGCGAGACCGTGTCTCAAAAAAAAAAAAATTCTTAGACTTCATATTGCATAACTATATTTACAGAAACCCAAACAGTATTAATTTTGGCATTAGGAATGAACAAAGAAAACAATGACAACTACTATTATTTGCTCTTGTTCATGCATCTTTTCAGAGCCGTTTGATTCTCTTTCATTATGGACCACAATAAATCAAAATATTTGAACTTTACAAGTATGACAGGAACTTGCTTTTTTTTTTTTTTTTTTTTTTTTTTTAATATTTTGGGAACCTGGTCTCAGCCAGGGTTTTTGCAGGCTGAACACCTCTGATTCAGAACTCATGTTGGTGGCAATAAGCTATGTGCTGTGATAGAAGTGGTAAGAGCTGATCTCTCATAGCTCCTCATTTGTATAGTGAGGGTGTTAAACCAGATGTTATAAATTTTTTCCTATTCTAAAATCTCTTCTTTACCCAGAGAACATATGTTGATTGCTTTGAGAGTGAATTTTCACTAGAAGTAGAATTTGGTATTATTAACATCCTTTGAAAGAAGTAATACTGAAATGTAAATATAGGCCAGGCATGGTGGCTCACGCCTGTAATCTGAGGTCGGCAGTTCGAGACCAACCTGACCAACATGGAGAAACCCCGTCTCTACTAAAAATACAAAAATTAGCCGGGTGTAGTGGTGCATACCTGTAATCCCAGCTACTCGGGAGGCTGAGGCAGGAGAATCGCTTGAACCCAGGAGGCAGAGGTTGCCATGAGCCGAGATTGCGCCATTGCACTCTAGCCTGGGCAACAAGAGTGAAACTCCATCTCAAAAAAGAAAAAAGGAAATATAAATATGACTGTTTTTGAAGCTGATGGAGTTGAGTAGAGGAAGGGAGTGTGCCTAATGTAGTTAGGCAATAAAACAGAATACAGGCAGCATGAAGGATGGAGTTTTACAAGTGTGGGGGTGCGGTTTTGTGTATGTATGCTATGCTTTAATACATTTAAAAGGAGGAATATTATGTGCATGTTAAAACAAGGCTTGGAAGGGTATTCATTAGAATGTTCATTGCACCTCTGTGTTAAGAGGTTATGAATGCCTTTTATATTTTTCTTACAGTGTTTTGTGGTTTGAAAATGTCTGCAATGAACATTTTTAGTCATAAAAATGGGAAATGTGCAGTAACATCTACAGGGAGAAAAAGGGAGACTCACAGAGCTTCTTACAAAGTCCCCTGGAGTGCTTTACCCCAAAGAGAAACACCCTGGCTTCAGAGGGGTAATGGACAGGTTTGGATGTTTGATGGAACTGATGATCTTTTGCAGGAGACATAAGAGAGGGTGTTCAAGTTTGATCATTGAGAAAGAAATGGGGATGAAGCAGCGTAAGAATTATGAGTGGTGTCTGCTGGGGATGGTGAATGGTTCTCCCGGCAAGAGTGGCCAGAACAGCTGATGGCCATTCTCTGAAGTTACAGCCTGATTCTGGCAGGAAGCTTTTGGCAGCTTTTTAGGAAACTTGCAGATTTTGAAGGTGTATTTAGCAAGACCAGGTGGTACAGCTGCTATAGCTACGTTGACAGGTGGCAGTGAGTAAACTCCTCAGGCAAAATCAAAGATGGGTGTGGTTTCTGTTTTTTGAGCAATGTGGGGCTCCTTGGATTTTCTGGGGGTTGCTGGTGTCTTTGATGACACATGGTATCTAAGAACAAAAATTTTACCTTTGACCAATGCTGGTTAACATCCTTATCACTTCGTCACTGAGTTAGTACCCTGTGCTAACTGAGTTAACAGTCTTGTTGAGAATCACTCCCATATGAATTCACATCTGAGTGTTAGTTCCTTTCCCCCAATCATCTGGCCCTCCAGGTTTTTTCTAAAAACAAGCAATGCCCAAGTTATTTAGCGATTGTTTTGTTTCATATCACTCCTTAATGCTGAAAATTGGTTGAATTGATGTAAATAATTACTGATTTAGGTTTAAAAACAGTTAATGCCAGATACACACACAGACTCCATACTGTATAAGATCCTCCCAACACCGCCCTGGAATTTAACGTGGCATGAGTTGGTGGTGGTGGTGGTGCTACAAATCATCCCTCTGTAGCATCTTACAGTTCTCCAAGCAGTAGTCAACCTCTGATGTCTTATTTGGGCTTTTGAGGCACACATCTTTAACAGAATGGATTTGGCCACCTTCAGACATGCCCTGTTTATTTTGATAAGATGAACCTGAAAATAAAAATGAAATTTTAAATGTAACTGTTCTCATTCTCCCCACTCTCTAGATTGTACCACCTACTTGAATCCAGTGGGGAAGCATGTGATTGCTGACGCCCAGAATATCACCATCAGCCAGTATGCTTGCCATGACCAAGTGGCAGTCACCATTCTTTGGTCCCCAGGGGCCCTTGGTGAGTGGTCAAAAATCGAGTGTATGGTGGTAACCTGGGTGGATAGGGCCCAGTGCAAAGGTCCCACGTGATGGTCTCCAGGAACCAGGCAGGTCTTGATGTGAGCGAGGCTTACGTTGGATTGGGCACAGATACACTTTGTACTTTGTTGCATATATTTGCTGGGCGTACACATGGCTTGAGACTGTGCCCTATGGTCTTTTGTTTCTTCTACTGTTATTGTTATTCACATGGGCTTGAAAAGTAATATTGTGTGAGTAATAAATGGCACTGACATCTTGGCCTCTGTCTCAGCCCTGGTCAGGGGTGGGAGGGCAGCAGTGCCAAGAAAACCCATGGCCCATCCAGGGGCATAATGGCCATCCAGCATTAGCAGTTTCTGTGAACACAGAGACATGCCAGCTCAGCATTGGCACATATTGTGATTTTTCAGGAAAATCCCAGTGTTCATGAAAAACAATGAAATCAATGAATTTTTAAATGTTGGCAACAAATTTCATTTCTTTTTTTTTCAGAGACGGAGTTTCATTCTTTCACCCAGGCTGGAGTTCAATGGCGCGATCTCGGTTCACTGCAACTTCTGCTTCCCGGTTTCAAGCAATTCTCCTGCCTCAGCCACCCAAGTAGCTGGGATTATAGGTGCCTGCCACCACACCCAGCTAATTTTTGTATTTTTAGTAGAGATGGGGTTTTACCATGTTGGCCAGGCTGGTCTCAAACTCCTGACCTCATGATCCGCCCACCCCAGCCTCCCAAAGTGCTGGGATTACAGGCGTAAGCCACCGTGCCCAGCTTGAATTTTTATTTAAACTGTGTGAGACAAAAAAACAAAATGGAAAAGAACAACAAAAAACAGACCAAGCATGGTGACTCACACCTGTAATCTCATCACTTTGGGAGGCTGAGATGGTAGCATCATTTGAGGCCAGGAGTTCGAGACTAGCCTGGGCAACAAAGTGAGACCCCCATTTCTACTGGAAGATTAAAAATTTATCCGGGCATGGTGGCACAAGTGTGTAGTCTTAGCTACTTGGAAGGCTGAGGCAAGAGGACCACTTGAGCCCAGGGTTTGATGCTACAGTTAGCTATGATTGTCATGCCACTGCGCTCCAGCCTGAGCTACAGAAAGAGACCTGGTCTCTTTATAAAACAAAACAGGTTGGGTGTGGTGTCTCATGCCTGTAATTCCAGCACTTAGGGAGGCGGAGGCAGATGGATCACCTGAGGTCAGGAGTTTGAGATCAGCCTGACCAACATGGTGAAACCCCGTCTCCTCTAAAAATACAAAATCAGCTGGGCGTGGTGTCACATGCCTGTAATCCCAGCTACTTGGGGGGCTGAGGCAGGATAATTGCTTGAACCCACAAGGCAGAGATTGCGATGAGCCGAGATTGCACCATTGCGCTCCAGCCTGGGCAACAAGAGTGAAACTCTGTCTCAAAAATAAATAAATAAATAAAACACAAAAGAAAAAACTAAAAGAAAAAAGCAAACCGGTATTATATGGCTAGATTCGGGTTGGGGCTAAATCTGCTTGTCCTCTTGAATGAATTGAAGATACATAGGAAAGAATGGGTTAGCCAAGTGTGAGATGTAGGAAGGGGACCATTTGTTCAGACGGGCCTGGGTTTGAACCCCCAGAATTGATCTTTCACATGAGGCATTGAACCTCACTGAGCCCCAGCTTCCCCATCTGTAGAAGGGAGATGAGAACTGCCTCATGGTTAGAGACACACATGGTACATTTTCAGAGAGAGTTCTCAAAGAATAGTGGCTGCTATTACCATGATCAGAACCTGGTTCTTGGGACTGCCGCTTTGACACTGCTACCTGATCTTACAAGTTTGTGAAAACCTGGCCAAGGGAGAAGTAAAATAAAGTCTGAATTTCTTAATCTGAACAGGGTAAATCTCAGAAGAACCAGATTGCAGGAGAGGGAGGATTAAGCAGACCCACGGGCCGAACCACTTCTCCACATCAGTACTTCTGGGTTTTAACCCACTGGGGTTTCCAAAAATAATATTATCTTAACATTTAAAGATTAAAAACATTTTCTGTAGATAAAAAGGAAGTAGTCATTCCATGTAAGGCTTAAATGGTTAAGGAGTTGGCCTGATGAATTGCAGGCCCCCTCGTTAGAATGAAAGTAAGAGATGTGAGCTGGTGGCAGGAAAACTGACATGGACCAGTGAGGGCAGAAGTCTGTGCTTTTCCTGGATGCTGATTTATGGGTGGGGGTGGCTGGAGAGTTTCTGTTGGGTTCTATCAAGGACACTTCTTGGAAGGTAGAAAAGCATGTGAGTTAAGAGCACTGGCTGAGAGCCAGACACTTCCTGGGTTCAAATCTCACCTCTGCCATTTTATTCCTATGTGGCCCTGGGCAAGCCAGTTAGCTACTATAAACCTGTTTCCTCATCTGTAAAATGGGGATAATAACACCTTCCTCCTATGGTTGTTGGGAGGATTTGATGAGTTTAAATGATGGGAGAGAGAGCAAATAACTTCTTTCTTGGGAAGCTCCTCTATAAAATTGCTAATCATTACATAACTACAAGGTGTTAATAGTACTGTAATGTGTCACAGTGATAAAGGAATTACGTTTACTGCCTCTTCCCTCAGCCTTGGAACCTTGGCATAGTGGTTTTAGGCCAATATTTTTAAAATAAGAACAAGAACCACCCCTTGCCACCCTAACTGATGATTTTTTTTTTTTTTTTGAGATGGAGTCTTGCTTTGTCACCCAGGTTGGAGTACAGTGGCGCGATCTTGGCTCACTGCAAGCTCTGCCTTCTGGGTTCATGCCATTCTCCTGCCTCAGCCTCCTGAGTAGCTGGGACTACAGGTGCCCACCACTGTGCCTGGCTAATTTTTTTTTTGTATTTTTAGTAGAGACAGGGTTTCACCGTGGTCTCGATCTCCTGACCTCGTGATCCGCCCGCCTTGGCCTCCCAAAGTACTGGGATTACAGGCGTGAGCCACTGCGCGGCCCCAGCTGATGAATTTTTTATGTAATTGTGAGATATATGGCTGTTAATAGTATTAATCACCTGGATTTTGTTAAATAGTCATTCTGGTAATGTTGTGTAAATTAAATCTTAGTATTAATACTGAGGATTTGTTTTACAAAGTTTTTTTGGATCTCAAAAGGCAAGTCCTGTGAGATCTAAAATAGTCGTTGGTCTAATGACCTTGTCATCACCTTGTCTGAATCTCTGGTGGTTGCTCAGCTGGCTTTCACCCCCACAGGAAGCTTTGTAATTGAGATACAACGTGGCAGAGTCCATACCTGTGCACAGTAATGCTCTGAAACCCTAAAGTGTGAAGTTCTAATTGTTGCTCCTGCTCCTCTGCCCTACTCACCAATAAATATGTATTCTTCATCAAATAATTACAGGATTGGAGAACCTATTTGAAAGAGAAAAATATTTTTCTGACCTTTATCATCAATAAATTTCCCACCTGGTTAATTGCATCCTGTGTAATTACTTTTGTCCTGGGAGGGGAAGGGTTGAAAATGTTCCGAAAGAATTTGAAATCGATATCTCGCCATTGCGGCAGGCTTTGGGGCTCTCCAGCTGCAGTTGGACAACTTCAGTCTCCGTGGGATACACAGCCCTGGTGCTGGCGCTTGTGGCCATCAGAGCTTAATCCTTTTGAAAGCATCTAGTCGGACGTGCAGTGGGGGGAGCTCAGGTGGCAGGAGGCTGGGCTGGTGCCTTTCAGCGGCGCTGTGGGTGTCTCGGGGCCTTGGAGGCTGTATGAAGAGCACACACTGGGCAACCCTTGGGTGTCTGCCTTTCAGGCATGATTAGAGCAAGAACCGCTTTGTAAATCACACAGGCATTCCCCTAAGCTATTTAATCTCAAGCCTCAGAACCCCTTGGGTGCAGACACAATTTGTTGGGAATTTTGTATGTTGCTCAGTGAGACGTGCCAAAAAATATAGAGCTAAAACTTAAAGTGGAAACATGGTTTGGAGGGATTCCCTAGTCAACACTGGGAATTACCATCAGTCGAATGTATTCTGTGTAATGACCTAGAAATCATATATTCCACTTCAGACTTTTTATGACCAATTGTAACTGGAGTCTAAATATTTGAACCCTAATGCCATAGAGGCAATGAGTATTTATGAAATAGCTGGCTGGATTAGGGATTAATTAGTAATGGTGGGATGGAGAAAATCACCTGGTCTTTACCAGAGGAATGCAGGGGGTATGTTTTTTCCATTCTATAGACTCAGATACCCTGGCCAGAGTTAGGATTCCTTTAACTCTGGTGTGTAGGTAGAGAAGATGGTAATCTTGGAGGAAGAAGAGTGTATTCAGAAGTAATTAGGTTTACTGTTAATACAAGCATTCTGCTTTGCTTAGGTATCGAATTCCTGAAAGGATTTCGGGTAATACTGGAGGAGCTGAAGTCAGAGGGAAGACAGTGCCAACAACTGATTCTAAAGGATCCGAAGCAGCTCAACAGTAGCTTCAAAAGAACTGTAAGTCATGCTGGGGAATGTGCTCCTGAAGACATGCCATTGTTCCAGGGTCCTGAATAGCGTATTCAAAGTCTGAAATTGGAGAAGGAGGGGCTATGGGGTCCACCCCACCTGCCAAGGTGGGCAAGAATGGTATAGCAGCACCTTGAGCCTGCTCCACGCTCCCAGGGAAACTTCAGCACCTCCCTGTGTAAACACGCCTCTCGGGTTACTGCTGGAGCAGCGATCCTGGAAGGTGTCTTTGTGCTCCCAAGAGTGCATGTGGGCTCACCCTGCCCCCCAACTCTGAGGTTCAATATTAACAAGCCATGGGTTCTTTGCCAAAAAACAGACTGCATTGTCCATCTTCATGGTTAAGCGATCCAAACCTCAAGTTGGTCCAGAAACTAGACCTGACTTCCTGCCTCCCTGGAACATGTCCTGCAGATCTGGAGCTGTGTCTGGGTGGCAGTTGGGGTAGGAGTGAAGACCTTATGTAGGTGGAGGGGTGGGTAATTTCTCCATGATGTCACTGTGTTTTTGTTCCCTTTTAGGGAATGGAATCTCAGCCTTTCCTGAATATGAAATTTGAAACGGATTATTTCGTAAAGGTTGTCCCTTTTCCTTCCATTAAAAACGAAAGCAATTACCACCCTTTCTTCTTCAGAACCCGAGGTGAGTATGGCCTTTCCTGCCTGGTTCCCATGAGAAGACTTTTCTCCTGCTTTTGATGATTTTTCTATAGAAATGTGTTCAAGAACATGCCAAGGGCCAGGCGCGGTGGCTCACACCTGTAATCCCAACACTTTGGGAGGCCGAGGCAGGCAGATCACAAGGTCAGGAGTTCGAGACCAGCCTGGCCAACATGGTGAAACCCTGTCTCTACTAAAAATACAAAAATTAGCCAGGTATGGTGGCGGGCACCTGTAATCCTAGCTACTCGGGAGGCTGAGGCAGGAGCATTGCTTGAACCCGGGAGGCAGAGGTTTCAGTGAGCCAAGATTGGGCCACTGCACTCCAGCCTGAGTGACAGAGTGAGATTCTGTCTTGGGGGGAAACAAACAAACAAAAAAAAAACATGCCAAATACTAGTATGAAGCAAGCATGGCAGGGAGAAAAGCATCCAGAAAAGTACTTTTTAGAATTAAGGTTAGGTGCAGACACTGTTCATCTAACCAGATATACCTACTTCTGGCTTGTTGTAGAACAGACCTGACAGTTGATATTTTTGAGGATGCTGTGACCATCACTAAGACAGTCTGCATTACCTATGCTCTCGGCTATTTGGGAGGCTGAGGCAGGAGGATTACTTGAGCCCATGAGTTTGAGGCCAGCCTGGGCAACATAGCAAGACCCCATTTCTAGTTAAAAAAGACAGCTGGCCTGGCACAGTGACTCACACCTGTAATCCCTGCACTTTGGGAGGCCGAGGCAGGCACATCACGAAGTCAGGAGTTCGAGACCAACCTGGTCAACGTGGTCCCCATCTCTCCTAAAAATACCAAAATTAGCCGGGTTTGGTGGCATGTGTCTGTAATCCCAGCTACTCAGGAGGCTGAGGCAGGAGAATCGCTTGAACCGGGGAGGCAGAGGTTGCAGTGAGCTGAGATCATGCTACTGCACTCCAGCCTCGGCCACAGAGCAAGACTCCATCTCAGGAAAAAAACAAAAAAAAAAAAAACCAGAAATAAAAAGCGTAAGTTGATTTTGTGGTAAAGGGTAGGAGCATGAAATGATTCCATTTTTTACCTGTTATTAGGAGGGAGGCCTGTCATTTTCAGGACTAGATTAAGAAAATTATTTTCTAGAAAGTTCTGTTTATTTAATGTCTATGTGCCAGGCCCTGTTCTAAATGCATTCCAAATGTTAACTCCAAATACCCTCTGTGACAACCCTACAAAGAATTTAATCATACCATCCCCACTTATTAGATGTCGAATCCCACACAGAGAAGGTGAAGGGCTTGCCGGGAGTTGGATTTGAACCCCAGAAGTCTGACTCTGGAATCCATGCTCTGAACTCAACCACCCACTGTGCTGGGTCTGCTTACCTTTTGTTCTGTACAGGTTATCTCTTCAATCTTCCTGAGTTGCTGCTTTCAAACTTTGGTGACTGGTCACCCTGCAACAGGCAGCAGCTCCTTCTTGCCTTCCTGATCAGTCTTTGTCATTCAAGCCTTGGATGGTCAGTCCTGTCCAACATCCCCTCCTGTGAGGTCTGGTTGCAGCCCTCATCCATTGTGATGTTTCTGTTCACAACTCCAGCCTACATCAGTGTTTCCCTCTGCAGAATTCTTATTATGGTTGTTTTCTGTGCAGCAAAATTATTTTAACAATTGGTCTCATAATTCTTAAAATGAAATTCCATAGGGCAAAGACCATGTGTATGTCACATAATCTCTGGATGACTTGCACATAATAACCAGATAGAAGATTCAAAGAATGTGTTTATGAAAGCCTTACCTAAATCAAAATTAGTATAATTTAAGATGAATTTTTCCCATTGGCATAGAATCAATATGTCTATTTGGGGGTAACGTGGGTGCAGGGGGTGTGTTCCTGGAATGCAAACATTTGTCACCATTTCAGTGCACTGTGGTTTTTGATGCTGCCTTCGGTTTTATTGGCATTATACGGAGACTCTCCCTGCGTTAGCAAGCAGCATGGCATAGTGGACTAGCTGTTTGGCCTCTCTCCTTGTGTTTTTATTGCGTTTAGATTCTGTTTCAAAGCTATTGGCTTTGGTACCTGGTTTTCAGTGCTGACACTACTACTTATATGCCTGCATGTCATTTCAGGAAACCATCAAGAGCATCTTAAATTAGAATACTAGTGAAGGTTAAAATAATCCTGCAGCAGTTACCAAGACCACTCCAAAGTTCTCTTGTGTCTAAACATCTCCACAGTGGGGTGGGGGCCGGCATCATTTCTGTTTACAGCTGAAACAGAGTCTCCATGTGACTGTGGCATGAACATAGCTCTGCTGCCCTTAGCCACCATCCTTGAACTTATGTAATGCCCAACAAGCTTTTAAAATCTGGGTGACTTTACACTGTTAACATTTATGTGGCATAAAGTGAACTGCATTAATATGTTTATACTGTACCATTTAAATGTTTGTAAGATACAACTGCACAGTAGTGAAAATCCTCATTGAATTGATATATTTTATACCTTTTCTAGCATTACCTGGCACAGTATCTTTATATTTCATTGGGTTGTTGGGAGAGGAAAATGTCAAACTGTCCTAAAACTAAAAACATGTATCTTTATTCTCCTAATAGCCTGTGACCTGTTGTTACAGCCAGACAACTTGGCTTGTAAACCCTGTAAGTAACAGTGTTCTTATCTATCAAGTCTCAAAGTGTTGCCACTATGATGGTGTTGGGGTAGCCTCTGGTTGCTCACTCTGGGTCCTACCTCCTCCCAGTCTGGAAGCCTCGGAACCTGAACATCAGCCAGCATGGCTCGGACATGCAGGTGTCCTTCGACCACGCACCGCACAACTTCGGCTTCCGTTTCTTCTATCTTCACTACAAGCTCAAGCATGAAGGACCTTTCAAGCGAAAGACCTGTAAGCAGGTGAGCTGCTGGGTGTACATAAAGTAACACTGCGAGTTTCAAAGCGACCCCTGGGCCACTGGAATTTGGGTTGCTCAATGTGAGCATTAGGCTTTGTTGGCTCTCAGTGGTTGGTAGATACTTGGGAATGTAATCACTGGGCATGTCTCAGGGCCATCTTGCCACTGTCCTTCACTCCCTAGTTATCTGTAACCCAGCTGTCCTGGTTGTGATACAGCAGCCTGGTAACAGTATTGCCAAGGAATAAACAAGAAGTATTTCTCATTTGTCCATATATGTGTGTGTGTGTGTGTGTGTGTGTATACATATATATATATATATATATTTTTTTTTTTTGAGATGAAGTCTTGCTCTGTCACCCAGGCTGGAGTGCAGTGGAGTGATCTCGGTTCACTGCAACCTCTGCCTCCTGGGTTCAAATGATTCTCCTGCCTCATCCTCTGGAGTAGCTGGGATTATAGGCGCATGCTACCATGCCCAGCTAATTTTTTTAGTTTTAGTAGAGACAGGGTTTCACCATGTTGCTCAGGCTGGTCTTAGACTCCTGACCTCAAGTGATCTACCTGCCTTGGCCTCAAAAGTGCTGAGATTACAGGCCCGAGCCACCACGCCTGGCCTGTCCTTTTATGTTTTAAACATTCATCATGTGCTCTCTGTGCGGCAGGCCCTGAGCTTTATGCTCCTTGAATCCATACCGCTCTATGAAACAGAGGCTGCTGTCATCCCCATTTTACAGATGGGAAAGCTGAGGCTCAGGGAAGTCACCTGGCTTGCTCAAGGCCGCATAGCTAGTAAATGGAAAAACCAGATCTAGGAGCCAAGCCACTGATAACTCAGTGGCTACTGATTTTACAAACAGGCCAAGGTTAAATAGAAACTGAGTAACCCAGCCCTTAAACTGGGAGTGGTCAGAAGAGTGGAAACCGTTTCGGATGTTCACAGGACTGTCTGATCGCCCACTGTGGATACCAAGAAAGTTTTTGGTTGTGGTGGCAAAGCCCAGTACCTCCTTAGACATGCTCCTGTATATGTCAGGTTCTGTCATAGTTTGCTCTCCTTGCTGGCTCTCATCTCTATCCAGGTCTTTGACCTCCTGCCCATGTTAAAATTATGGCAAATAAAATATGTATAAACACAAACTGGTAATTTATTTCCTCACCCTTTTGTTAAGTAAAGGTTGTTCAAACTAGTTTCTTTGGCTTCAAATCAAATATTCCTGCTCAGGGTGCCACCAGCTAAGCATAGACTATGGCAAGGGTCCTGGGCTGTCCTGGGCCTTTTATCAAAGGGAAGTTCAGATAACATGTGGCAGATAAACACAGTTACTTTTTGATCTAATCACATTTTCTGAAAACTGTGGTTGAGACTGATGGCAAGTCTCCTTCAACTCTGGGCTAGAAGAGGTGTCCTGATGACCTCTGTCCAAAAAGTGAGTTTTTAAAGTGTTCTTTGGTCTGTTGCAGGAGCAAAATACAGAGACGACCAGCTGCCTCCTTCAAAATGTTTCTCCAGGGGATTATATAATTGAGGTATGCATAACACAAGAAAGCCCTATTAATGCTATAGAATGAACCCAGTTCATATAGAATTCCAACTGTTTACAACACTAAAATTTCAAGCCATTGAAGGTGTGCACAGTTATATTTTTATATGGTTCTTAACATGTTTTTAGAAAAAGTTTATATATAATTGATCTTTGATCTCTTAATTAAATATTTCAAATAAATATTTTTATGTAATCATATGGTCCATATATAACCATGGTTTAAAATCTCTAGTATTCCTTAATACTACAAAGATATATTTTCAAGATTTTAGCTTAAAGTTTTTTTTAGTATGAAAATAGCAAAATAAGTTATGCCCATTACTTTTGCCTACACTTCTCTTAAGTTTCTGTTGCTATTCTTCTATGTAAGTATAAATGAATTCTAAACACCACTTCAAAGAACATGTAAATGTAATGTTTCGGGGAAACCCCATCTCTTGTAAAAATACAAAAATTAGCTGGGCGTGGTGGCGGGCGCCTGTAATCCCAGCTACTCGGGAGGCTGAGGCAGGAGAATCACTTGAAACTAGAAGGTGGAGGTTGCAGTGAGCTAAGATCGTGCCACTGCACTCCAGCCTGGGCGAAAGAGCGAAACTCCGTCTCAAAAAAAAAAAAGTAATGTTTCATTTCCTTTTTAAGATTACCTTTCCTGTATCAAATTGGTACTACAAATAATAAGAGTATGAGGAAAATAGAAAAGGAAATTAACAATTTGTCCATAGTGCCACCATTCAAAGACAACCAACATGTCTTAACATTTTGGTAGAAACACCTAGTTCTTGCATTCCTTGGAATCAGTGTGTGGTTTTATACTGACACACCTTCTTAAAGCATTAATGGAGGCCCAGTAAAATCAGTGGAAGGATGCCAGCTTAATTGAACATTATTAGAATGTGGGACTCACCAGCTGACTTCTTCAATTAATACACAGCCTTTTGATTAATAAAAGAAAACACGATGAAGCTTACAGTTTCGAGTTGGTAAAGCAGAGATGAACCTGAGTACACATGATGCCTAGTCTCAGCCTGGCAGATGATTACAGGCTCCAGAAGCTCTCTTTTCCAAAACTCAGCCATTCTCCACTACTTGCTTCCCACCCCTTCCCGCACTGCCCACTGATGGAAAAAATGAATGAAATTACCATTTTTTTCCACTTACCTGGTATATATCACTTAAAAAAAAATAATGCAGCATCCCCTGTTTTGCAGCTGATGGATGACACTAACACAACAAGAAAAGTGATGCATTATGCCTTAAAGCCAGGTAGGTGTTTTTTCGTTTGAAATTTCCGCCCTAGACTAATATAGACCAAGGTATTTGATATTCTCTCTACTTCATGATTTACAGAAACAAAACAAAATTCGGCTCCTCTCTCTTAAATGATGTTCCATCAAATCTGACTTTCCTTCCACTCTAATGTGGGTACCTGGGAGATTAAAGCCAATTTAGTGTTTATAGCTGGGACTAGATAAATAGTCAATTGTCCTGTGAAGAAAAGTGGTAGGAGGGGAGGTTTCCTTAGGCAAAATTCTCACTCAAAGGTATTTTATGTCCCAGCCTGACTCTTAACTGTTGAATTGTTCTTTGCAACTCTGTAAAAATGAATCTTTGAATCCTTTTATAATCACCAAACCACACTAGAGAAAGGTGGTTGTGTGGTCCTAGAACCTGTTATGTGGCTTATGTTTAAAAAGAAAGAAAGTTGTTTCTCTTTGAACCTTTACACTGCTTAAGTTTAAAAACTTTCCCTTTGAAATTTCCCAGTGCACTCCCCGTGGGCTGGGCCCATCAGAGCTGTGGCTATCACAGTGCCACTGGTGGTCATATCAGCATTCGCGACGCTCTTCACTGTGATGTGCCGCAAGAAGCAACAAGGTATCTCTTTGTGTGCTGTGTCTCCCCACAACAAGGGGCAGACCAGGGGTCGCTGCCAACAGAAAGGGAGACTGGGAGTACCTGGGTCCTCCAGGATGGCTCCTGGGAAGCCTCATAGCTCCTATTCAGTTCCCAGAATTAAAATATTTGGCTTTTAACCTCAGGAGCCACTAAAAAAACAGGTGTCATTATACATCTATTTCTTGAGACAGGGTCTCGCTCTGTTGCCCAGGCTAGAGTGCAGTGACACAGTCATAGCTCACTGCAGGCTCGACTTCCCAGGCTTAAGCCATCCTCCCACTTCAGCCCCCTGAGGTAGCTGGGGACTACAGGCATGCACTACCATGCCTGGCTAATTAAAAAACCTTTTTTTTTTTTTTTTTTTTTTGTAGTCATGGGGTCTCACTATGTTGCCTAGGTTGGTCTAACTCCTAAGCTCAAGCATTCCTCCTGCCTCAGCCTCCCAAAGTGCTGGGATTACAGGCATGAGCCACGGCCTCTGGCCCATAATTCTATTTTCAACCATAGGATAGTAAATTCAGGGACATAAAGGAAGCTTGAAGTATAAGTAAGGATATAGGTAGGGCATGCTCATTTACAAAAGTCACCATGAGACAACCTTCTGAGGTGTTGTAAATGATCCATAGCTTGGTCTAGGTGAGGGTTACACAGTTGTATATTTCCATAAAAATTCACTGAGATGTACACTTAAGATTTAGGTACTTTACTTTTGTAAATTATACCTCAATAAAAACTCTTTTAAGAAAATATCAGCTCTGCCCGTGCTTAATTGGTCTAATAGGTGCACTTGGCTGCAAGAGCCAGTTCTGGGCACTCTGCTAACTAGGGTGGCGCTCTGCTAACCAGGATGACCCTTGCAACATTTCTTAGTTTATCCAAGGTCAGTTTCAGGTGAAGAACAATTTTTGACCATTCGCTGCTCCACTGCGGAAATCAACTGTCCCATTCCAAGTGATGACCCGAGGGGGCTGATGGAGTTGGGGACTGGGACTACTCTAGGTAGACGTGTCAATTGTTCTTTCTTGAAGATAGCACTGGGTTTCAATTCTTAGGGAATAGAACAAAGCATTGCTTGCAGGTATCAACCCTATCTTCTTTTCCAATTTAGAAAACATATATTCACATTTAGATGAAGAGAGCTCTGAGTCTTCCACATACACTGCAGCACTCCCGAGAGAGAGGCTCCGGCCGCGGCCAAAGGTCTTTCTCTGCTATTCCAGTAAAGATGGCCAGAATCACATGAATGTCGTCCAGTGTTTCGCCTACTTCCTCCAGGACTTCTGTGGCTGTGAGGTGCGGAATCTAAAGTTCCTTCTCCTACCCTGGCCAGGACACTTGCCCCGTACTCTCTCCCCACTGCCTTCTCCTCTCCTCTGGGCCTCCTGTGGTGACACTTGCCCTTGAGTAGTGCCACAGCTTTCAAACTGGGGATAGTCTTGCATTCTTTCTTCAGTCTGTCTTACCCATCACCAGCACTAAATATTTCATAATACTTAGTTCTAATTCTGACAAACTTATGCTCTAGAGCTTTGAGTGGCACTCACCTGGCAGGAAGTTTTGTAAGCATTAAGAAGACCAGTAGCTTCCATGGAAACATGGAATTGGAGTTGAAGGGTGTCACTCATCCTAGTGAGCATGTTCAGGACAGAAGCCCCACTTGGAGGATCAAAGAGAGAGTGGCAAGTAAAGCAGTGAGTTCGCACAGTTGTTTGGAGTTCTGCTGAGAAGGGGAATGAAGGATGAGGCTGCCATTAGAGGGGATCTTGAGGTCCAGGGAGAAGTGATAAACAAATGGCTCTGTGAAGCTGTTTGACCATTGACTGGTGGAATCATTGACGGGGAGAAACTGGTGATGCAGGAGAGGGCACTGGCCAGAGAGAACAGGGAGGTAGGAAGGGAGCACTCCCAGAAAGCAATATTGTGTCAAGTACTGAAATGATCTGCTCTGGTTTCTTAGCTGTTCTCTTGAGTTATTAATATGTTATTAATATGCTTTTCTATAATGTCAGAATGTACATTTTTAGAGTGAACTGTACAATAATTGTGTGATTGGAAGTTGTTTTTGCTTTGAAACTGCCCATTGGCATGTTTTTCAGAATCTCTCCATGTGGTGAGACTGCCCCCTAGTGTCAGCATAACATACTACGCTAGCCTAGTTTCCCTCTGCATGAAAGCGGTGAGGTTGGTGGATCAGCACGCGCTGAAAATAACTGCACTCTAGCCAATGGCACAGTTTTCAGATACCACAGGCAACCAAGTTTGCTCTGCTTCACAAGTATTTGGCCTCTGGGGAAAACGCTCTTCCAGTTATTAGTGTAATAGTTACTGTAGAAAATTTGGAACTAGAAAAGGATGATAAATAAAACATTGTCTGGTATCCCAACCTGATTAAAGAAAATCTGAGAAAGAGGAACTCACATTTCATGTGTGGTTTATTTCCTTCCAGTCTTTTTCCATATAGGTGAACTCACGCATACAGTTTTGCCTTTGGGGCTGATTGAAATGATTTTTTTGCAGTCTCTTAATAATTTTTCACACTATTAGTAGTTATATATAAACTGCAATTTTAAATAGCTACATGACCCTCCATACTGATGTGCCATAACTGAATTAGTACAAATATTAAACATCTCAGTGGTTCAATATTGTCCCATTTGTGATGATTTCCCAAGAAAGATGCCTGGAAATGGAATTGCTGGGTCAAAGATAGGAACATTTAAAAAATGCTTGGTGTATACTCCCACTGAGCTTTTAGCATGTGTAATGTTATCAAGAATTAAGGAAAGTATAAGACAATTCAGGGTTATTTTCAGCAAGTTGATGGATGTTGGAGTTTTTTCCCCATTGGTAACATCTTAGAGCAGAAGAGGAGAACAAAGTCATTTCAGAATGCCCTTCCCTGTAAGATAGTGTGGCTGCTGTATTTGGTCATAGCCATTGGGAATTAATATCTGAACTACAGAAGGAAAGACATCAACACAATCGCCAAGGGACGTTTTCAGCAGAATTAGGTGAAAGTGGTCTGAGAAGGGGCCACACATGTCTGATTTTCTCTGTTTTGTCAGCCACCCCCACAATCTCCCTACTAGACCCCCTTGGGGGTAAAGCCTTGCCAATTACCAGCCTTATAGAGATGTAGCTTTGTAGACCTGTGTGAAGTCATGGAGGAAGGTGCTAGTCAGTCCTGAGTGAGTTACTCAGAATGACCATGTTAATGCAGTTCACTAACCTCCTCTCCAGCCATGGACAAACTAGTAAACAGCATGCGTACGCCTGAGGCTATGAGAGTGTCGAGATAGGTCCCTTTGTCAGTCACTGTCTGGATGTGAGTCACCTATAATTGGGGGTGACTGGCATCCAGGCCTGAGCCCCATCTCCCAGTTCACTTTGGAGCCACTCATCCACATCTTCCTCTCAGAGCCTGCCAGCCTTCTCTCCAGGATCTGCCCCTCCAATCCAGGTACCTCACTCACCAGATAACCAACCTCAGTTTCTCTGTCCTGTGCTCTTTACCACCTGTTTCTTCCTTGAGGATGCCCTATGTAGGGTGTGACTTCAGCAAGGTGCCAAAAGCGCTGTGCTTCTGTCCCCTCACTTGTAGGGCAGGAGTGGTAATGACGCCGTCTGATACGAAAATGGATGGATGGCAAGTTTTTGCAGAGGGACTAGCATATGACCATCACCCATGGAACTTTAGCTATTCCTTGGTATGGTGTAACCTGGAGCCTGCACATAGCTGTGCTCATAAGGGTTAAGGGGCAGATGAGATGGCCTCCTTCTGACATTTCCCTTCCTGTAACTCACTTCCCGAGCCTCTTCCAGGGCCTTCTGTATGGGTGGCACGGTGCCTTGTTCTCTTTCCAGGTGGCTCTGGACCTGTGGGAAGACTTCAGCCTCTGTAGAGAAGGGCAGAGAGAATGGGTCATCCAGAAGATCCACGAGTCCCAGTTCATCATTGTGGTTTGTTCCAAAGGTATGAAGTACTTTGTGGACAAGAAGAACTACAAACACAAAGGAGGTGGCCGAGGCTCGGGGAAAGGAGAACTCTTCCTGGTGGCGGTGTCAGCCATTGCCGAAAAGCTCCGCCAGGCCAAGCAGAGTTCGTCCGCGGCGCTCAGCAAGTTCATCGCCGTCTACTTTGATTATTCCTGCGAGGGAGACGTCCCCGGTGTCCTAGACCTGAGTACCAAGTATAAACTCATGGACAATCTTCCCCAGCTCTGTTCCCACCTGCACTCCCGAGACCACGGCCTCCAGGAGCCGGGGCAGCACGCGCGACAGGGCAGCAGAAGGAACTACTTCCGGAGCAAGTCAGGCAGGTCCCTGTACGTCGCCATTTGCAACATGCACCAGTTTATCGACGAGGAGCCCGACTGGTTCGAAAAGCAGTTCGTTCCCTTCCATCCTCCTCCACTGCGCTACCGGGAGCCAGTCTTGGAGAAATTTGATTCGGGCTTGGTTTTAAATGATGTCATGTGCAAACCAGGGCCCGAGAGCGATTTCTGCCTAAAGGTAGAGGCGGCCGTTCTTGGGGCAACTGGACCAGCCGACTCCCAGCACGAGAGTCAGCACGGGGGCCTGGACCAAGACGCGGAGGCCCGGCCTGCCCTTGATGGTAGCGCCGCTCTGCAGCCCCTGCTGCACACGGTGAAAGCCGGCAGCCCCTCGGACATGCCGCGGGACTCAGGCATCTATGACTCGTCTGTGCCCTCATCTGAGCTATCTCTGCCACTGATGGAAGGACTCTCGACAGACCAGACAGAAACATCTTCCCTGACGGAGAGCGTGTCCTCCTCTTCAGGCCTGGGTAAGGTGACTTTGGGGCGGGTTCTAACAGCACACAGCCTTTGGCCATGCTTCTGAAATAGTCGAAGCGTTTTTCCAGTTTTGGTGCCAACTTATTGGGCCGTGAAACCTGATGAGAACACAGCTCGTTTGGTAGTCTTGATTTATACCAGGTGATGGGAATACTCACATGTTTGAGTTGCAGAAATACTAATGCTAAATTATGGTGAGCTGCCCAGACCCTGCAAGGGGTGTTGTGCCACATATAGTATATGCACCGTATCACTTTTCTAAACTTCAAAAACATCAGACATGAAAACACATTGGGCCCCGAGGGTCTTGGATAACAGTTTGTGGACGCGTGTCTTTTTTAGACCTGTAGTGTTCACCGCCCCCCACTGTCTTTAAAGCTACATTCATTGAGTCTGGGATTCATGGGTACAATATTATTTCTATCTTAGCTCAGCACAGGGTCCCAGGTATGAGGGCTGTCTAGGAAGGCCTACTTCCCCAGGGAGCATCAGCTAGATGCCATCTCAGGCTGTGCCTTACTATGTCTGTAACTAGTTGGGGTCATGCATACAAACCCTTGACTTTTTTTTTTTGAGACGGGGTCTCACCCTGTTGCCCAGTCTGCAATGGCACGATCTCAGCTCACTGCAACCTCTGCCTCCCGGGTTCAAGCAATTCTTCTGCCCAGCCTCCCAAGTAGCTGGGATTTCAGGTACACCACCATGCCCAGCTAATTTTTTGTATCTTTAGTAGAGATGGGGTTTCACCATGTTGGCCAGGCTGGTCTCGAACTCCTGACCTCAAGTGATCCCTCAACCTCGGCCTTCCAAAGTGCTGGGATTACAGGCGTGAGCCACTGCGCTCAGCCCAAACCCTTTACTTTTACGAAATATCTCTTCCTCAGCTAAGGGAACTAGAACCTGTTAGGAGGACTACCCCCATCTTGAGCTGGTTGGGATTCTTACCTCATTAATACAGAGCCATAGTCCAAACCCAAATCTAGCCATATTCTGGCATGAGCACCCGCCCAGCCCAGTGAAATGCTATGATAGTGTGACTCTGTACTCTCTTCTCTCCTTAGGTGAAGAGGAACCTCCTGCCCTTCCTTCCAAGCTCCTCTCTTCTGGAGCGTGCAAAGCAGATCTTGGTTGCCGCAGCTACACTGATGAACTCCACGCGGTCGCCCCTTTGTAACAAAATGAAAGAGTCTAAGCATTGCCACTTTAGCTGCTGCCTCCCTCTGATTCCCCAGCTCATCTCCCTGGTTGCGTGGCCCACTTGGAGCTGAGGTCTCATACAAGGATATTTGGAGTGAAATGCTGGCCAGTTCTTCCTTGCCCCAACCCTTCACCAGATATCTTGGCAAACTCTCCAATTTTCTAAAATGATATGGAGCTCTGAAAGGCATGTCTATAAGGTCTGACAACAGCTTGCCATATTTAGTTAGTCCTTCGATCAGAGCCTGTTGTGGGAAGTAGGGAAGAAATATGTAAAGAAAAAAAAGGAAGATACCTTCACTGGTCATTTAGACTTCACTGAGCTCTGCAAACTTTGCCTGTTTGCTATTGGCTACCTTGATTTGAAATGCTTTGTGAAAAAAGGCACTTTTAACATCATAACCACAGAAATCAAGTGCCAGTCTATCTGGAATCCATGTTGTATTGCAGATAATGTTCTCTTTTTTTTTTTTTTTTTTTTTTTTGAGATGGAGTCTCGCTCTGTCGCCCGGGCTGGAGTGCAGTGGCCAGATCTCCGCTCACTGCAAGATCCGCCTCCCGGGTTCACGCCATTCTCCTGCCTCAGCCTCCCGTGTAGCTGGGACTACAGGCGCCCGCCACTTCGCCCGGCTAGTTTTTTGTATTTTTTAGTAGAGACGGGGTTTCACCGTGTTAGCCAGGATGATCTTGATCTCCTGACCTCGTGATCCACCCGTCTCGGCCTCCCAAAGTGCTGGGATTACAGGCTTGAGCCACCGCGCCCGGCCCTCATTTATTTTTGATGTAGAATTTACATTGCCATGGGTGTTAAATATAAGCTTTGAGTCAAAAGTCAAGAAAGTGACTGAATATACGGTCACCTTTTATGAAATGAGTCTCTGTGTTACTGGGAAGCATGACTGATTGAGGTGAAGCTCACAGGGCCAGGCTGACCTTCTTGACCATTCCATCTGAGATAGGTTGGTCAATGTGCAGAAGGCCCCAGGACCTCAGCACACACAGTCGCCTCTTGGTCTGAGTAGACATCATGCGGAGGCCAGATCTGCCTGCTATTTCCATGGGTTACATTTACTGTGCTGTATCTCAGATGTTGGTATCTGGAAGTTTATTCTTAAGAGACTGCTACCCAGCTGGTCTGTATTATCGGAAGTTGCAGTTCGTGCTTTGGTTGGCCTTCTGGTCTAAAGCTGTGTCCTGAATATTAGGGATCAGAATTCACTGAAATACAGCAGTGTGTGGAGGTGATGGCCAGTTAATCTGCTGAACTGGTTTTGACTAATGACAAACCTCTTTTTAAGAAGGCAGAATGGAGGGGATAGTCACAAAAGTAAATGTTCCATTTTTATGAATGACTTTGTTCTACAGAGTTCTGTTTCTAAAGAAAAAACAATTGTTCACATCCCATCTGATGATTAGCATGTGTGTAATAAATGCTGTCTTGGTCTTCCCTGTGGAAACCCTTCTCCCCGTGCCTTTGAGCAGGTGTGGACATCTCTCACTGCCTTTCACATGGGTGCTGTTAGATTTTGGCACCCCGTTTTCTCAGCATTCAGCCCAGGGACTGTGGTTTTAAGTCCTTCGTCAGATAAGACCAACATGAAGGGGTATGTTGAGAAATATCCTGAGGCAGAATGGGGCAGGACTTTACCTTCTAAGCACATGCATGGCAGGTGGGGAAAGGGGGACTTGCACCCCTGCTGGAAAGAAAAGGTTTGTGTATATTTCTGATGCAAATGTCATACTCACTGCTCTGTAAAGGCAGCTGGCAGCTTTTTGGGAGAAGAACGTGCTAGTCTGTTCTCTGGCATCAAGTTTCCTGCAGCTGCTCCGAGGGAGAGACAGTGAGCTGCAAGACTGTCTCCCCATAAAAACAGGCAACTCAGAGAAGAGTCATTTCATGTTGTTCCTATGGAATCTGGAATGAGTGCAGAGCTCCTACCACACATGACTGCCCTGCCATTTCATCCTAGGCATACATTCTGTGAAGGAGATTGGTTAGTCCAAACTTGCTAACATATGAAAATTCACTTGGAACATTATGAGAGATTTCTTATTGAGGTCAAGAGATGTTTCCTGTCCCAGAGGAACCATTAGGAGTCGCTTTTAGGATATTCAGCTTTGCTCATGAAATAAGGCATCTCTGGGAAAGTGGCCCCAGGGAGAGAGTGGAGGATTGGGAGGAGAAGCATTAACTGGGCCCCAAGGGTGTGTGGGCAGAGAGCTAGCCACGTGAACTCACTCCTTATGGAAATGGAAGGGAAAAAGAGAGTGCTAGTCGAAAAATCAGGGGATGTTTTAGTTTGGATTTAGGGTTTTGATACTTAGGTTGAAATACTAATGTTTCTGATCAACAAAATCAAACTCTTAATATACCAAGTAATGAAACGACAGTGTGATTGCCTCAGAATAAATTGAGAAGTCCAACTTCCTAGTTTTGTTTCATTAGTTTCACTTTTTCTACTCTCCCCATTATGCTAGAAATGGGAATCCTTGCCCTGCAGATTAAGGCAAAACATCTGTTTTAAGCAAAGCTGCATTTTTTGACTCAGAAATTGTCCCAGACAGTGGATATAAGATGAAATTCAGAAAAACGTTCTGCCAAGTCACAGGCTTTTAGATATTGTGGAAACAAGAAATGGAAAAAGGGATGATCTCCATGAGAGGCCTTGATCCTGAGAGTAAAACGCTTTTGTGGATAGGTTAGACAGTGTCCTTTAGAAAAGAGATCAGGGGTAAGTCCAGGGTTCCAGGAAAACCAAGAAGCCTGCAGGTAGCCGAAGGTAGAGTGCTAGTTGTTCATCTTAACTTACCAATGCACTATAGAAAGGACTTAGCATCTGATGTCGTCAGCTTTGCCAGGAGAGTGATCAAGGAGGTTAAAGCTCAGGTAAAGGTGTGCCTTCTCAAAGACTGGTTACAAGCAGCAGAGACCACCTCAACAGACTCAGCCCAGCCATACAGGGTGCAGAAGCTCCTCCAGAGGACTGTCTTGGGCCTTTGAGGCAATTGATCTCCAGAAAGAATCAGAAGTCATTCCAGTCCAGGCCCAGGTATTCAAATGGTGATCCAGCCAGATAATAGTATCTTGAGCCAAAAATGAGATCAGGCCATAAAGTTAGAAGACAGAGTTTTTGATTGACATTTTAGGAATAACTGAAGACAGTCTCAGATCAGAAGTTCAATAAAATGTCTTTAGCAGTGGTGACATCATTGGAATCAGTGTGTAATAAGTCATGGATATTTAAGTTCGTATTTGTTTGTCAGCGTTCAGTCTTATAACTTCATAGTCACAAGTATCTTTTTTAAAATACCAACTGTTAGTCTCGGGTCTCCTGACTTAAGTGCAAATAAACAGGAGACTATCCTTCAAAAAATGTGGGGTTACATGATTTTCAGAGCCTTTTTTTCAGAGTTGAGCATCTTTTCTTTTAAAAGAAATAAAGGGCGAGAGGACCAATTTTATTCCTGGAGGAAAAATGACACACCCTCCTCCCAAAAGAAAACTCTCTGGCCCCCCAACTTCAACACTAATTTGGCTCCCTGAAGAACAGAGAAAATATTCTTTCTGTCTTTATTGAAGAGAAGTGGACAATGCCAATGTGAAGGTTACTAGTCTTTTATTTTCTGTTGGTGAAGACTACTACTGCTCTTATTTAGCAGATCTTATACCTTCAGTGGTCACCAGTATAGCATGTGAGGTATAAAGAAAACAGCGGTGTGATGATAAATGGTAATTAATATACTTTGTCTGTGTCAGAGAGCAATAGGGAATGGTGGGGACTGTGGCAAAACTGAAGCGCCCCTGTTCCACCCACAGGGGGCAATTTTCCAGTCGACTGTGGCCATGAAGTATTTCCTGATCTTCCCATTTTTCAAGAAAAGCTGACAGTCTGGATTTTTATATGAAAAATTCTGATTTTAAAAAATATTGACAACTAAGTTAAAATTCAAGTGAATTTAGACCCAGCAGAAGACATGGATGGACCTGATTTGGTCCACTGAATACCAGTTTTTTAACCTCTGCTTTATAAGATTTGAAGAAAAGGCATTCATGGTAATTACAGATGGTGTCACCAGAAAATGCTCTTGCTAAATGCAGCCAGTAGTTGGATTGCTTCTTTCTCTAGCCTCTCCCGCAAAGAAATTTGATGTGATTTTGAATGCACTGGACATGTCTGGATTGCGTCTTTGCATTTCATGGTGTCTTAAAAGAAAGACAAGCCAGTTGTTAATTTCAAAATCAGATTTATGCTCTCTCAATTTAAAAAATGCTGGGAACAATTTCATTTAAACTTCACAACCTAAAGGGCTTTGTTTATAGTTTTAGCTCTTGGCATAATAATTTTTTTTAGATGGTGTGCAGTTCTGAGCATAGGCCAAGACATGATTAGGAAAGCAGGCGATTTTAGAAAGTAAGGCAAGGAACCTCCTGGCATCCATTAGAGCCAGGTATTTGCATTATCTTCCATTTTGAGTGATCTGTGAATTGACTCTGTTTTGGAGGTGTGAAACAGTATACAGAGAAAAGCTTTTCCTGATATTGAGATACCAGTTAGGAGTCCAAATGGAGTGTTGGGTCATCCTTGCCATATCACCTCCTTCCCAGGATCAGGGTGAAAATAGACAAAAGGAAATCTGACTGCAAGCCAGTGGCTTTGATTCTAGTTTCAGGGTTTAGGGACTAGGAGAAAGTTTAGATTATCTAGTATGTTCTTCCCCTGGTGTCAGACAGGGCTGTGCCTGAATTATTCCAGACATACGGCTGTAGATGGTATTCTTTATTTTACAAGAAGGAGATTCTGTAACCTACCCTGCTGATCAGATAGTTCTTTGTATGTCTTATAGAAATTCAAGCCAGCTTCCTTTTGTTCGGCATGTAGTGGAGAAAGAACAGCTGGTCACCTTCCATGTATTCGAAAACCACAGTGAAGTCATCCCCCTGGTGTTTTTATTTCAGTGATAAATAATTCCACCCACTTAAACCATTCTTCATGGCTCTTGTTTTCCAGGGGCCTAATAATTTTCACTGCTATAATGTTTCTCAGCTTCACACTTAGTTTAGTTGCCCAAACAGAATGTTGGTGCCTTACTCACATTGGTGCCTTGTGAAGACCAGGCTCAGGGTGGGGATTATGGGGGAGATTCTTGCACACCCAGCTCCTCTTACCACTTAAAAATATAATGGC